GGGGCGACACACTGCCTTCTCCGTATCACATCCTCTACTGAATTTAATAGAATTTATACAGAAAATATTTACTTTTGCTAGTCCCCCCTTCTTTATTAACTGAAAATTTTGTCCGCCAACCATCAACCCCCACTGAAAGCTTCAAGTACTAACCCCCCCCCCCCTCCCATTTTTTTCCGGAAAAAACGTCTGAAAGAAACTCTAATGTGATTCCAAATGTCTGATTATACTCCGAACGCCACAGTTAAATTGTTACAGATATATAGGTAAGACAACCAGCAATACGTGTATCGTTACTATTTCCATATCAGTTCAACGCCCATTAGGCTCTGGCTAAGATGGAAGCTGCACCCTGAGGTACAAGCACCAGGAAATATTTCTTGACATGCGCCATCCATAGCTGCCTTGTCAAATCTGTGGGAATAATTTTTATATTTCTTGACGTGCCCCATAGCTGCCTTGTCAAAATCTGTGAGAATAATTTTTGTATTTCTTGACGTGCCCCATAGCTGCCTTGTCAAAATCTGTGAGAATAATTTTTATATTTCTTGACGTGCCCCATAGCTGCCTTGTCAAAATCTGTGAGAATAATTTCTATATTTCTTGACGTGCCCCATAGCTGCCTTGTCAAAATCTGTGGGAATAATTTTTATATTTCTTGACGTGCCCCATAGCTGCCTTGTCAAAATCTGTGAGAATAATTGTTGGTGCTGTTAGCGGAATAGGACACTCAACTTCATGGAGTAATCCTTACCATGTATGGGCAAACCACCTGTGGACAAACCACCTGTGATTAAACCACCTGTGATTAAACCACCTGCGGATAAACCATCTGTGGACAAACCACCTGTAATCAGCCGACTAGTTTTCCGGTAAATGACTATTGCCGATACGAATCACAAAAATTTGAACCATCATTAGGACCCTGTCAAACGGGTTAATCGAAATATGTGAACTCTACTTCATCTGCCTCATGTGCCATCAGAAGGAACGACAGAAAAAGAAAATGATACATTATGCTTGTAATAAACCGCCATTGAACATTTTGTCCGTAATAGTGTACCTTCTAGCTGTTGCTAAGGCCCCGACGGTAAATATAACAGTCTTAAACTAAGCTCTGCACATTAAGCTCTGACAGTGCTCTAGGCACAAGCCATACATTAAGCTCTCGTTCCACACTTATGAATATATCTTTTTTTTTACAAGTAACATTTTGTTAAGCGTCGTATCGCCGAGAGACATTATGTCGAGGGTTACATTTTTTGGGGGTCAACTTGTAGCCTACATTGTGACATAACTTTCTATGGTAAGCCGATGTGTCAGCTCGAGAGAGGGGGGAATCGGTTTAGCCTCCTTCATGTGTCACCCCCTCCCCCCCCCCCCCACACACACACGCACACATACGTTGTGTATTTTAGGTAAACTATGGCTACGCATCTATTCCTTATCAACACAAAATTAAAAACCTTAAAACTTTAATAAAAATATAATATACAGTAATAAGTTTCAGCCTTATCAGTTGGTCCAATTTTAGAGGCTATTGATTGTACGTACGTTCCGTGTCAAAATGTTTCTGGTTTTGTTAAAGAAAATTTGGACAACAGCTTATTACAACCATGATCGCGTTACATTAGCAACAAGGGGAACTAATAGCAATTTGATGCTTCTTTAATTCTGTAATATATTGAGAATTGTGAAGTCAAGGGAACTCACTCTTCTTGTATTAGTCTTTTATAATGTTGTTTTGAGTGATGTCCCTTGTATGTCATGTGTCTTCCGGTAGCTGAATAAAGACTAGATACATCAACATGGCGTCATCGTCCGTTGTATCATTATAGAAACAACAATCTATTACAAATTTAATATAATATCGCCAATCTGTACGTGGAAATATTTAAGGAAAAAAAAACATGATAATTCTAGATGTTAAAGGTAAAGGGAAGTAATTGAATACTAAACCAATCAACTAGTTTTAATTCGGTTACGGGAAATGTGTTTTTAGTTTTGTTAAAGTTAGAGACCCTTGTATTTTCTGACAGTATTGTTTCTGTAAGATGTTTTAGGGTCGCTTCTAAATATTAGGCTATTAAATGCAACAACTCAAGCCAGAATATTTAAATTAGAATATACAATAATTACAGAAACAAGAACTCAAGAAACAAGAACTCCTCTTGGGTGGAGGGGGGGGGGGGGTGTTGCGGGGGCGCCACTAACGATGTTATAATAAGTCTTTTAAAAATGTCTTATTTGCTTCTCTTATGTGTTACACCAACAAACATTTTTTACATATACAAAAATCTATTTAGTAGATATAATCTTATCTTGACTATCGTCTCCCCGAGTAGATTGTGAGAGATCATTTCCTTAAGAGAGATACAGCAAGAATCGATTGCTAGTAAGATATTTGTCTGTTATTCATTACGAAAGTAATACCGTATAAACTGTTCTTAATCATCATGGTTTACTATTACGGGTCAGTTGTAGGTTAGATTAGAACAGGATAGAATAATCTAGAATTAGGGGAGAGTGCGTGTGTGAGTTGATTTTACCCTAGAATATTGTTAACCCCGGTGTGTTTATGTATTGTTATCCCAAGGTCGAATGCGGTATAAAAGCTGGAGTGAATGATTGTCGGGGGTTAGTTGGTAGTGGTTAGGTCGAGAGCTACTCTGTAATGTGAATATGTGAGACCGAATAAACGTATTGAACGTAAACACGAGTTGTTCTTGAGTTGAAACTCACCAGGACGTAACATTTACCTTTCTATAAGATTTTTTACTGACGTCCATGAAAACCAATGTGTTAAGTGCGTTGAGTATTGACACCTTTATAGACCGTGTAGTGCCCGGCTTAAAGATGTGGGTTACACTATAACCACTTTTACAATAAGTTCTTATATTTTTGTTTCAACTTTAATTAATTTAAATATTATACTTTATGTCTACAACAAGACAGGTAGAAGAGAGAGAGAGTCGACTAGATCCTATATCCATGTTCAATTTTTACCCAACACGTTTCTGTTGATGCTAAAACTTTCAGGTAAGACACCTGAACTAGTTTTTTCCTGTAGAGACCCCGGTCCTTGTGGAGATGTAGCAGCACGCGTTGGATCACTCACTGTCAAAACATCTCTTATTTCTTTCACTCATTCTTAACTAGGAATAATGTCAAATACTAAGGAAAATCTTTCAGCGTTGATTAATATTGGGATGGGTTAAGTGAGAAGTGTATAGTGCGCTACAGTTACAATCTAGGAATCAATTTGGTTTTATCGAACTCAGTATAGAGCAATAAGTTAGTTATTTGATCACGTGATTTTTATAATTTTTCAATTATCTCATTGATTTATAAACAGATATGTAGGTCAGAGGTCACTGATGAGTATCCCACCATTAACTTAGGCAGGTAAAACGTGTTTGTGTGATGCTTCAACGTGATTATCTCGTCACCTCCACAACTCCTGTCATGACGATATCGCACAGAGGATAATTTAATCACGGGCTGGAGAAATTTAAATATTAAATGTTACAATGGAGTCGTTAGATCGAAACGGACGATCGAAATTTCGGGCACATCTAACTGACAGTTTTTTTCAAAGTTAGCACGTGGGTAAAACTTGAAGACAATAGAAATGACTTTCAATTTGACTTAATTTGATGACTAATTACTTTTTTGTGAATTAATTAAAATTTTCTGAAATTATTAGGCAGTCTGGTTACTTGTACTACTTTTCCAAACTATTACACACCAATTATTATGTTCATAGTTTTTAGTCATGCAATTCTATTGTAAATAAAAAATTTAAAGTAATGAAAGAAAATTGCACAAATTGCAAAAACACTAGATTTAATGCCCCAGAATTTCCCAAAATTTAATGTTTTTACCGGATCCAAAATTTGAAAATTCATAAGAAATTACTTTGAAGATCTGCACTTAAAATTTTTAGTACCCCAAAATATGGGCTGTTTATTGGACTTAAAATTGAATATTTTATGAATGGTGGAAATCCTACGAAGAGGTAAATTTTTCAAGATGGTCGCCGTTGTCATAGTTACTAAAAAAAATATTAAACAAATTTTTAAAAGTGGAAATGCATATTCAGATGTACCTTTAAAAAGCTGTTGAGAAAAATGGTTTGCTCTCTAGTATTTAAAAAGTTTTTTTTAACCTGAGCCTACCCCCTTAATGACAAGCTTTTATGTAATAATGGACTAAAAAGGAGAATATCCTATTTAAATTACTATAAAGAGATGCTTTTCTTTATAGTAATTTAAATAGTAGTGTATTAATATATATTTAAAGAAAATAATTTATTGTCTCCTTTTTAGTGCATTATTACTTAAAAACTAGTTCTTAAAACGTTTTATGCGATTTTAAATGTAATAATGCACTAAAAGGGAGAAAATAAATTATTTTCTTTAAATAAATATAAAATACGCTACAGTTTAAATAACCAGGATTTATTCTCTTCCTAAACATTAGTAAAGTTATTTGACGGATAATATAGTGATACACGCTTTTCTCTATAGTTAACTAAATAATAGTGTATTATTATATATTTCAAAACAATAATTTATTGTCTCCCTTTAAGTGCTTGTTATCAAAATGTTTTTTATGCATTTAAAAAAATATGGGCGTATTAGTTTTTTGTCCAATAAAGACAATCTGAGCAAGACTAATAATTAATTGTTACTGTAAGCCACCTATTAGAGAGACTTTATAAACATAACGAGACGTAATCGTATCCTGCAAGTTTAGAAAAGGCAAATCGGCTATTTGTGTCTTGGTTTATATCAATATCCTATAAGGTATGTGTGCAACCATTGTAATCCAGCGGGTCTTGTTAAATAGTTCATGTTTCGCCCCGTCGTTCACTGGTTTAACAGCCGTTATCTCCTAAATGTAAATAAACATTTCTTGAAAGCGTGTTTCTTGTTAACAATGATCATGTAATATTTACATAATTCCGGAATTTAAAACAATAAAAAAAACACTGATAATATTAGTATTTTTTTTTAATCATTGGCAGACAGATTGCAGTTTCATGACGAAAATCATCAGAATGCACAATTGTTTGCTTCAATGGTGAGGAGCTTAGTAGTAATAGCCTTTTCCTGTAGGAAAAAAACAATTGACATAATTAATAAATAGGCTACATAACATTTGTAATAGAGCTTTGATTTCGGTTAAACAAATCAGAATTTATGTGTATAAATAAGTTTTAAAAAGCAAACTATAAGATTAAAATATATTACTTGGGATTATACTTTTACATTTTTTTTTTTTTTTTAATATTTGAAGAAAATGATGCATAATTCTAAATCCAAGATAAATTTTCAAAACAAAACCTACCGATTAATCCAAGTCTGCCAAAGCCTCCAAGACCGCCCAGTCCACCAAGACCCCCGAATCCACCAATACCGCCGAATCCACCGATTCCACCGAATCCACCACCGATTCCACCAAATCCGCCAATTCCACCAAATCCGCCAATACCGCCGAATCCGCCGCCGATTCCACCGAATCCACCAATACCACCGAATCCACCGCCGAATCCACCGAGTCCACCGAATCCAAGACCTCCGTATCCAAGTCCACCAAGTCCACCAAGACCACCAAGACCTCCATAGAAGCTGGCTTGGGCGTTCATGGCAAGAACGGCGAGGGCGAGAACGGCGAATACGATTTTGTTCATGGTCTGAAACATAATGAAGAAATGGACAATGTTTTAGTAGAGATCTAAATGCTTACAAAAAAATCAGTATATCGTATAAATTATAATCCTAAAACTTTCTCGATTTGAATATACAAAATACATTTCTGTAAACCGAAAACGAAAACAGTAAAAGCCTTAAAATTTACTCACGAAAGTTTAGGTTTGACTACTGTTTGGAACAGGTGTGTTTAGCAGTATTGCTGGTTGTGATGGAGGTGTTTGGTCACTGGATGACTTCCCTTTTATATAATTTTGTCTGAGATAACGACAGGGAAGCAACTCTAGCTCTAGGCCTTTGGATGACAGCCGGAAAAAAAAGTAACCGGCTTTATTGCCGAGTTAGTGTTAAGCTGAGGGTTCAGACACAAATTAAGAGATTAATTAACGATCAATTGAAGTTTTAATTCGCCTTATTTCTTATTAACATGAAAATGTAGGTTACTGCTATTTATTTATACTTTGTCAGTCATCTTACCGATGTTTTTATAAGAATAAAAATAATATATTAATACTGTATATTATCATTTTAATTTAAATAATAATCTGATTAAATGACTCTAAATTACATTCGTAGTCAACCTTTGAAGATGGGGCAATAGTAAACTATATCGTTAAAAGAAACAGAGTTGCGGCCCCTATTGATTATCATTTTAAATCTATTTACTTTTTTCATTTAATTGCTTTATTTACAAATTTTAAGCATGTCTTTGAAACTTTATAAAACTAAAGAATAAATATTACTTTTATATGTTTAAAAAAACAAAAAATAAAAAAAAATTCTGTAGGAGGACTGCTATGTATATAGTTGTTTCAAAGGGATTTGATTAGTCTTATGTTACTCTACATATCATCTATTCAGGGTTGAAAATAAAATTGGAATTAGATGTTTTGTATTATGTAAAACCCATCTTCAAAGAATGAAAGTACTTTTAAGGAAGAAGTAAATCTATATTAGTTCTCACAAGCCGTTGATGAGAACTCTAACACTAAAGCGAAAAAATGCATGGGTAGGCAAGCTGACGCTGTAAATTACATGTCTGGGGCAAGAAAAAAAAATATTTACATCAAATATCTTTTATAGCCCTTTGTGTAAATGAAATATTGTGTATTTATATTTTTTATTACTTGTATAAGTAATGAAATCACTTCGATATTGTTAAATGGTTTTGTTAAAATACACACACTGTATGTAGGCCCTATTGAATTTAAAACTTTGGTTAGATATAATTCTCATGTGTAAATATTTTTTTTTAAATTTAATCATAAGAATTTTAAGGATTATTTTTCCTTTGAAAAGCTGTTTTAAGTGTACGATAATACATTAGCCCTAATTAACATATCGTGCTATTAAAAGTTGTTGTAAACAAAAATATGTTGTGAAAGTACTTGGATCATTTTTATAGTGACCTCCTCCCCCCCTAATCTTTTTTTTCGGAGGGGGGTGCATCCCCCAATGATTATTTCGATCTAGTTTGCATGCCATTTTTACTTTCTTCATTTAATTACTAGATAGGTATACACTTTATTGTTATGTCTTTGAGGCCGTATAAAATAACAAGACGAATATTTTTTTTTAGATACTATTCATTCTGAAATATTCTTGACTTCACTACTTTATCAAATGTAATAATAGTCTTAAATATGTAGGCAAACTTATGGTGGTAACAAAATTTTCTCATTTAGCTCTTTTGATAAAATTTCAATCTGTTTTTTCTTTTGTTTCCTAATATTTAAACGTAATTAATTGAAAGCAAGCATGTTTTAATTGTAAATTTACATTTGTACAGTGCGATTACAAATATAGCAAACATAGTAGCCGAATCTTCAGATGACCAGTACAGTGTAGATTCTATTTGCATACACAATGTACCGAATCAATGACAATATTGCTATTGATAAGGACGTATTTACTTTTAAAGTACAGTGATACCTCGACATACGACAGCCCTAATACACGAGATTTGTTATTTAGATACGAGCAATTTTACATACGAGCAATGTTACGGCACGAATTAAACTCGTATCTCGAGCTTTCATTGTACTAGCTTTATTTAATGTATAACTTTCTTAAGTTTCTTTAAATGCGTTAACCTCGCTCATATTCGTAACACAGGATCTGTTATTTAAGCATAACTTGGGGTTTCAATGTGTATTTCATTATCTGCCTCAGTTTGATACCAAAGCATTTTCTCCGCTGACTGTCGCTTTCATACAAATGTGGCAATTTGTGAAAACCTCTAAAGTTCGAGAAAATGACATAACCTCATGAGTTCAATTTTTCCTTGCCAAATGTATTAAAATAATTTACCAAGGTTGAATTTGACACACTCTATAGCAGTGGTTCTTAAACTTTTTGGAGGTACCGAACCCCAAAAGTTTCATATGCGCATACACCGAATACTTCTTATTACTATTTCTATCGTCCACATTGACAAAATCCGATCGTGTCGAATGTGTGTCTTGACCTCCATCGAACCCCCGATACGGACTAACAAAACCCTTTGGTTCGATCGAACCCAGGTTAAAAAGCACCGCTCTTTAGGCCTTCTATCTGCAGAGAAAGCTGCTTTACGATTTCAACTTTTGGATGATTGGGCTGATTCAGCTTATTGTTTGACCACGGATATCTTTTTCCATAGTGTCTCACAACCTACAAAGTTTGATGAGAGCTTTAAGCAGTTTTTAAATGCAGCCAAAGGAAATTAAAACATAAACATCTGATAAAATGTACTTAAATTTATATATTTTTTATTTAATTTTTTTACACTTCTGCTACACATTTGTTTCGTCATCCACAGGGTTTCTTTCTGGCATTTCTTCGAGGGGGGGGGGGGGGTGCCGCTTCCCCAGGAGCACGTCCACTGCCCTCATCCTCCGGATAAAATAAAAAGATCTGTAATATATATAGAAAATTTATATTTTGACCAGATTTCGAGGAAATTTAAATGCCCCCCCCCCCAACCCATGAGAAATGTCATGTGCTTCCTGGAGAAAAAATATCTGAAAGAAACACTGCTCCTCCAACATTTGCCCACGCGTCTCAGTTGAGAAAACGTTGTCTAGATCATCAAAGTAAAGAGATCAGGTGTATACATTTAACCCCCCCCCCCCCCTTTGTGTAAAAATTATTATGAAGACCATTTGCGATGACTAAATTAATGACCCAGATCATACTATTATATTCGAAAAGTTCTGATAAAATTGTATGTATTACTCAATCAATGAAACTAATACATATTTAAATTGTTATCCTCTAGCTTTAAGGCAATAAAAAAATAAAGTAATCAAATTGTCCATCCCCCAAACACACCACCCCCCCCCCCCTCCCAATGTCCCGGTTGTTGACTAGTTTAAAAGCTCACACAACAGATAGGACGAACGAAAAACATGACAGGTTTGATCACATTTAATCGCTAATTAATCGGTGTATTAAAAGATGCTTGAGAAAAGTAATAAAATTAACCCTGTTTTCACGATGATTAAACTGAAAGCCTGGGGGTGATAAAGTCAAGTGTGGCTTGTATTCACGTGACTCGTGCACTTAACCTGTTGTATTATGTATAATTCGTGCCGGTGTTTAAGCACTTGGCATAACATGAGTTGTTTAAAGTCATAGGGTCAACGCCCTTAAAAACACGACATATGATACGATTTAAGATTTCGAACATTTGGAAAATTTTTGTGAAACGGGAAAAAAGGGATACAATTTGTATGTGAAGTTGGGGGAGTAGAGGTGAAAACTATATCGTAAGCCCTTTTTAATTTGTAATGTCGAATTATCTTCGTCAGACATTTAGCCATTCTTGACCAATGGCTAATGCATGGTATATGGTCCCCTTTTAGAGCCCGTTGTCTCTTTATAGAAAATCTAATAAGTGAATAATTAGAGGATTCAAAATTGACCATTAAATACGTATAGAGTTTAAAATGACCACTAAATAGGCAAAGGACTAAAATGTGACCATTAAACATGAAGACGACTAAAACGTGACCACTGGTACGCCGAGGGCTAAAATGTGACTCTAAGATATGTAAAAGGCTAAAGGCTAAAAGGTAACCACTGGATTTGAAGAGGGCTAAAAGGATTGCCACTTCATATGTAGAAAAATAAAAGGTAACACCTGGATACAAATAGAAGACTATATATATAGCTAAGGGATACTACCCCTTTTTATTCTGGTACGATTGGCTCCAGCGTTGTTCTTAAGCCAAGATGAGTCTTAAGATTCGAACTTCTCTCTCCCAAGTCGCCAGCACTGGTCCCGTTAGTTTACTTTTTTCCCTGCATTTCGTGTCCCCTGGTTTAGATGCATGAAGCAGTTTTAGACTGGGGTAGACCTACAACACGCTGTCTTCAATGTTTAGGGCCAATAGACCCAAGCTCGATGGAATGAGAACAGACTGTGTTTGGCGAGAGGACTAAACAATGAGGTCCTACCGTGAGAAGGTTTGTCTTAAATCTGATAACGGATCGTATGCAAATGGGACTATTTATGTAAGCCCTGCTAGGGGGGGGGGGGGGATACCTTATATCTATTGTCCGGTCAGTGCAAGCCCGGCTAAACCCAGGCTGGTTAATAACCTAACCTTAGTCTAAATAATAAGTTACTAAAATAAAACAAAAACTTTTACAGTTAATAAAATTTATTTAACAAAATAATAAATATGGAACCAAAAGTTATTATAAAAAAACCAGAATCTAGATCTAGACAAAACACTCAAGACGTACAAAACAAACAGAACTCAACGAAACAAAACACCCAATTTCGGACCACCGTCGTTACCATACACCATATAAAGGTGTCACAGAAACTCTTTAACACACAGGCCTCGACATTCCAGCAGAACGTCCCTCCCTGTCGACACCCCACATTCACGAACAAAGAACTCAATACTACGAACAAAGAAACCAAAGCTACGCACAAGAAAATAGTCCCTAATACAACAATAACTTACATTCAGGACATAAAGCAAAGTGGAGCAACAATTCAAAACAAAGTTTGCATAAATAATAACATTAAAATATAAACAAGACACAATAACCAGGCTACAAACCATTGTAAAATCGAAATCATATCAGCGCCATAATAGCGGACTACTTAACTAAAAACCACAACAATCCTCAAAGGAACATAAAAAGCGACATTCGCCTTCTTAGTTACAAATAATTATAATAACAGATAAACACACTCCAGCCGCTCACATACACGCCCCTTAAAGCTTGCGGTCACCGCAAGCTAAATAACTTGAAAAAAATCAGC